TTGGCTGCTCCGCTTTTGAGGATGAATCCGGATGTCTGCTCGTTGCTGTCTGCGACATACGGCAAGCTCTGATGGCCTTTGACTTGTGCGTACACGGCGAGGTAGATTACATTCTTGGCGTCGATGGAGGCTTGCGGATGCGCCGCACGGACCTGTCTTCCAAGATCATCTGCGGTGACGCAGCGGCCTTGGTAAACGAAGTCTGCGATGTAGTGGATCCCGTGTACGAACATAGCCATAGCGTGCAGGCGGTAGATGTTGGAACGGTCAGGGAAGTCTTTGAGCGGATCCCTGTCGGTGAATAGGTGAGCTGCGTTGCCCCATCTGTTAGGATCAAGGAACTCAGGTATGTTCACCTCGTCCGGCCGTCCGTTCGATCGATTGAAATGCACCATCAGGTAGTTGGGTAGATATGTAAGGCACCGGCGAATGGGCGCAACCGTGTTCATGTGCCCATTTGGGCATGGCCAATCATCGAGTGTCTCTCCAGACTGCCAAGTATCCAGCATGCCCTCAAGAATATGGGGTGCGGCGTCCCGAGGCGGAAGATCGAGCATGATATGCATCTGATGCAGCGCGTTGCGTACGACGCCGTCGCATGTAGCGCAGTTCCTCTCCTCGATGAACTGGACGGCGAAAAGACCCAGGAGTCTCGTCGCTCTCCCTTCATCGCAGTATGCATTGTATCGTGCGGGAGCAAAACTTGCGAGCGGGTACCGTGCCATGTCCGTCCGTGATTGGAATTTTGCGTCGTCCTCTTGATTCATGTTCGTAAGTCTTCCACGGGCTACCGGCTCAGAGTCGTCGGTGACGAGGATAAAGGCCTCCATGATGTTGACAAAAAGGAAGAACGGATCGTTCATCTGCTCCAATGAATACTTCGACTCGTGCGTGCCCTTGATAGCATCAAACACACGCCCCATCGCACTCTCTGTGATGAGCTTGCCGGGCGTCCGAATGTCAGCGAACAACTTGTGCAGAAGCTTCACCAGAACTTCGGCGCTCCGCGTTTGCTTGTTCAACGCTCTTGTAGTCAGAGCTGGGGTATCGTAGACTCCGTGTACCCATTCGCTGGCGATGCGGCCTGAATGATCGAGCGGCTTGCATCGGAAGTTCGTAGGAACGGCGAGGGTGTAAAGGTCATCGAGAGAACCGAATAGCTGGATCGCGGTGGCGACAAAGCATGTCATGCCGATGTGCGGCAGGTTGTTCGGCAAGTCGCCGACAGTAGCTGCGCCATGCTGAGATCCAGCAGATTGACTGACGGCACTTGTAGATGCTTGACCAGCATTGGCAGCGGATGTCTGAATGGCTTTGCACGGAGTGCAGTACACAGCCTTTGTGTTGGCTATTAGTAAATCTCAAGACACAGGAAGTACAAATGCCTCACCTTCTTCGACGTTCTTCAAGTCAGCACAGTAGAAGTGCATCTCGACTGCCGTAGGATGGCTACCGTTGCAAGGTACCGTCTTGCCGGCCAGTGCAGGCTGCTCGCAGATTCCACAGGGAGCCTGTTCGACTTGACCCGCAAGCCACGCCATCGTACCACCCGCGGCTCCTCAGGTAAACCAGCCTGTAGCCACCAAGGACAACGAGCCCACCGCAGTGATCACGGATACGCCTGCTTCGGCTCCCGAGCGTTTAGACGCACAGGCCGCCGCCTCCCCAGCACTGCAGACGCCAGCACAATCCGTTCACCCCACTGTCATCGAGCCTGCCATAACAAGTGAGGTCCAGTCAGTAGCGACTACACAACCTGAACCGTCGCAAGCCATCATCACGGAGGTAGGGGAGACGATCGCCCCCATCGCAGTCACCACTGCCAGCGAAAACGACATGACCATGGCGAACTTACCTGCAGCGTCCATGAAGCGCCCAGGCGCGTAGGGCGACATTACTCTACCAGTTCAGGCGGCGGAGCAGTCTGCCGCACCCACTACCAATGAGCCGGTCACGACTGAAGAGAAGACACCTGCACCCACGGCCAGTAAGCCGGTCACGACTGAAGAGAAGTCAGCCGCAACCACGCCTTCCCAGATTGCGCCACCCGACGTTTCGCTGTCGGTACAGTCCGCGACACCGCCGCCACCCATGGTAACTGTCAGCGACGGTGGGACGGCTGTGGACATCGAATCAGGACCAAATATCAACAACCCGAATGCGCAGATATCAGCTCCGTCGCCGACCATAGCCCCTGTCCCGTTGCAGCAGATGGGCGCAACGAAAGGCGCTGCTTCAGCGCAATCACCTGCTAAACCGCCGCAGATGGCTAGCGGTCGGCTTAAGCAGGCGTTACCGCCGTTGCCACCATCTAGGCTACCCACTCCTGCAATCAAGTGCGTATAACCTTGGTTACTCGTCTTGCAACGCTGAGCACTTCAACAGAAAGAGTATGGCACCCCCGACGACACTCGGCTCTGCGGGAACGGTCATGCCGATCCGTGATGCGTCGAGTCGCCAAAATGAACTGATGCCTGTGGACCAACGCTCTCAATCGATGTTCGCTCATAGGTATGCTCTTTTAACGCTCATCGATCTCATCCTGACACAGAGCTGACGTGTACATCTTGCAGGCCGTCGACATGAAGGAACCCTACAACGGCATCTGCCGCGAGAGATGGTACCCTGAGGCGTCAACCGAGTAATGAAACCTTGCAGGGCAATGACGAGGTTCCGAAGCTGAAGCGCCAGGGCAGCAACGCAACGATGAGGAGTCAAGCCACTACTGTGACTGAGAAGGGCGAGACCAGCATCAAGGACAAGTCGGGCAAGATCTTCAAAGGGGTGAAAGATCGCTTGAAGAAGCCAGGGAATGACAAGGAGTCGGGTGGAAATGCTGCGGCCTAATGGAGATTCGCTGAGCCTTGTACTGGATTCCAGCAGTTTGTACGATATCCAGTGGTCGTTTTACATCGATGCCGCCCCCTTTCCAATATGATCGCATGCCAGTACATCTTGATGACATGTCAATATCGGTCCTGCAAGTCTCGACCCGACAGAAGTGCTCAAGCAGACGGCGTGGCCTCGTGCGCGAGCTAGACCTGCCGTTCATGAACATAGTGCCGTGACGTGACAGCTGGGAGTAGGCACAGGTGCGTTGAATGCATAGACGAGGTCATGCGCGGGCTGACGATCAAAGATGCCCTCACGTGATGCAATCTCCCCAATCGAGTGCTCTCGCTTAGCACGGACTTACCCTGTAGAGTAATCCGCATGTCGTCAGCGCCGATGCCTCACAGTGAGTAGGTAGTAAATCCAACCCGCGGATGTGGTCGCCGCTTGTGGGTGGCATGACTACGGACGCTTCTGGGCTGTTCGAGCGTGAGAATCATTCCAAGACGACTTTGGTACATGTAGGTAGATACGCCCTCGAAGCGATAATTACATGTAGAAAGACAGTCTTGAAGCCGCCCTCGGAAGTAGCCTGCGGCTCATGCAGCTTGACTGGCATTCAATATGAGCATAGGTATGATAGGATGCGCTGAAGTCAGGCATTGCTTTAGCAGGTATTCCCGTCGCCCACCCCAGTCTCTCAGGAAGTCTCTGAAATCAGGCCATCTGCGTGCACCTTTGGCACGATGCCAACATTTCGCCTTCCCCAGACAACACCGGCTGCGATGAGGATGGGCCGAGTGACGACAACTCTAACCTTGACAATACTCGCGTTGTCGACGATCACTGCGATGCGCGAAAGCGCAAGCGGTACTTGCAATTAGTGTGCAGTAGATCCAGGGAAGAGAACGGTAAATCGTGTCCAGAGCGGGCAGGAGATTGGTAGTACTCAGCCCGACCTGAGGTGTAGCTGTAAACGTGTATGTTAGTGTTGTCTGCGAGCCAAGGGTGTAGAGTTCTCGATGAACGATGCATTCACCAAAGTGACGGGACTTTCAAATATTCGAAGTTCCAAATACCCAAGCTCATCATGTGCCTGCTCTTGAGGGACCTGCGTGTTCCAGTTTCAAGCACTGCAAGCAGCCAAAATTCATACTAGATTTCAACAGACTAAATGAGGCTGATGACAGAACATTGGCAGATCACATCGGCTGCACTTGCGATACCCAACTTTCCGGGAGCTTTAGCTCATCAGAATGTGCATGATCCCGAGCAGATAGGTCTTGTCATGTCGGAGCTCAAGCCGGTCTTCCATAACGTTCTCTGAACGTAAAACGAAAGGCAGTGACACGTAGCTTTGTGGATTACTTCGTGGATCACCTTGCGCAGGTAGCTGTGCAAGATAACTCGTCATGACGGAACAGGACCATGATCACAAAGAAAATCTTACCTCGCCAATTGGTGTCGTTGCTCTTGTGACTCGGCGCTGGATCTTGCGACTGACAAGCGCGAACGGGCATGTCGACTGCGCTTCACGTGAGGTTGGAAGACAACGCGAAACTAGTGGGCCACGTCAGTGCCAATTGTAGCTGGAGGCCCGCAAACTACGAGTGAGCGAGCGCGCCCCGTACGCGGGTTCGGGTGCGGATGCGAAGACGGTCAACTCCAGCGCCCGAGAAGGGGGGCGCAGAATTTCAGCAGAGAATGTTAGGCTGCTGAGAACCTGAAGGAGTTGAAGGATAAGACCTGAGGCGGGCTTGGACCTCAGCAATGGAGGCATTCTGCGAATTTCTCCACGAGACGTTTGCGTCCGTAAGTGCTTGGTCCGGTTCAGATGCACGATCCAGGCTGCAATAGACTAAGCTGGTCGTCGTGCTCTTGGTGTCCGGCTTGTACATCGCTTCCTTGACAGTGACTCTGCGGTAGCTTAGTGTATCTCGGCCTAGTCATATGCCACTAGCCGTGGGACGTGGAAACAAGTGTGGGATTGTTAGAGCGATCGACTCGTTCTGGTAATCCCTGCTAAGTCCTAATGGCGACGGTGCGCCGGGAAGAAACGCGTAGCCGTTGCCCGGGTACATGATAGGAGAGCTGTACAGAAAGCCTGGTGGGTGCCGGAGAGAATATGTGGGGAAGCGCAACATATACAAAAGATCAAAATTGCAATAGGGCCTGGCCGGGGATTGAACCCGGGACCACGCACATTCTGATGAGCTGAAGCTCCCGGAAAGATCGGATTCCGAAGCGCGTATCATACCGCTAGACCACCAGGCCGTTGTTGAGGTCAGCGAGATCGTGGACGAGTATGACATCCATTGAGTGCGAGGTAAGGGAGGTCAAGGAGTGATCTGGATCTTCGGGCAGCTTGGCGGCCAACCCGAGGCAGCACAACGATTCAGAAGCCTCCGATACATGTTTTGCTGCCCCTTGCATGCTTTGTAGCTCTCTAAATGGCCGCAGGGTCATGGAGGGGCGCCCCGAGGGAAATTCGTTGCAGGCCATGCCAGAACCCGGATCCGCAGCGTGGGCCGCCGCTAACGGCATCGTACAGCATCTCCACATCTCCCCTGCAATAGCTCTTCCATCGACGACATGAGAAGAGACCATTGGTCATGTATCCAAAAACCATTCTTGCTGACCGAAGAGGAAAGAGCACGTGATTTTGACAGCCGCACAGAAACCGACATCTGACTCCCACGCGCCAATCTTGATTTAGAAACAGTGAAACTTACAGTACGTACCGCGAAATGATTGGCTCTGCATGGCGTAGTATCGCTGTTCAGTCGGCCGTCGAGTACTTATCGTCTACCCCCTCCTTACATCTGGCTGCCAAGACGTGAGGTCGCACTCGTAAGGGACCCGCGCTACACATCACTTGTCTCCAGAGTTGAACTCTGCTGCTATGGAACACTACCACAACTCATGACCAGCATACATCAAGACGTGCTCGACGAAAGGTACATGGGCAACTCGCGGTGATGCTGATATAGACGGTCAGTCGGATGATCGGGCTGCAACGGTATTAGCAGTGCCACCACATGCCTTGCCTGCATCAACCCAATTGCCTGACGCGCGGCTTGCGCGATCTCATAGGCATCAAGATACAATAACAAGGGCGTCTACGCTTGGAGCGGTAACACTTGCATCTCTCACGGCACGATCAAGTAAATAAGTGCCAGCACGACTCCCCGTATACCACCATGTCCACCTATCCCACCCGCCTCGAGACTTTCCTCCCGCACTGGAACTCCAACATCACCTCGAGCCGCCAGCTTGCAGCAATGGGTCACACCTGCGACAGACCGCCACTCGAGAGCCTCGAAGACGGCTCCCGATGCATCGAGTGCAGCAGATTCGTGCCGAAAGCGACCAGCATCGCCATCCTGGAAGGACCAATGGTCGATCTCACGAATGGGAGACTCTCATTGCATCACCCGAAGTGCACCCACCTACAGCTACGATTCCCGTTCGAATCCCTCAAGCCAGACATTGGTCGCTACGACTTCATGAAAGTTCGAGATCGATGGGAGCGAAAGGCAGCACTGCCTGCGTCAAACTCAGCTCAAACCAGCGGCCTCTTCACCCTCCCAGCAGAATTGCGCCTACAGATCTACTCATACATCATTCCCCCATCAAGTCCCATTACGAAGATGATCCAGCTCAATCGCGACTCGAATCGCATGATCACCGAGCGTGGGCTTCACCGACCTGGCCATCGCGATCTGACACTTTCGAGACTGCTCTCGACGTGCAAAGCTATCCACGGTGAGGCTCTCGATCTACTGTTCCGCAACGTGACTTATGCTTTTGCCTCGTCCCGAGACCTTTACCTCTTCCTCAGGCAGATTGGACATTCAGGACGCCAGTTACTATGCTCTGTTGACGTATCATGTGGTCAACGATGCGACGCAATTGCATTCGCTTTACTGGCTTCTTGCGAGAAGCTGTCTACGCTCACGCTGAGGTTTGACCGGCCAAGGCTTATAGGCGATTGGGCACCATTGTGGATCACGAATGGGGTACAAGCTCTTCTTGAGCTACGCGGCATTGATGAGATCGATGTTGAGTGGAAGCAGCAGGGTCAAAGACACCGCTTTGTGTCATCTGGAGATTCACGATGCTCCGAGACTGTGCGCTCAGCTTTGTCGATGCCGAGATTGATCACCTGATGAGGCTAGCGAACGTTCAACGAGAGGCCTCATGATCGACAATGCGTAACTGTGAGGATCCTGCAGCTGCTTAGTGCTGTAGATACTGGCACTGGCTACGGCGGCTGCATTGGGAACAGCTGAGTCTGTACACCAGGACTCCAAGGCCACAGCATACAATTGCTGAGGACCGCCATGTCAACAACCTGATGTGACCCACGACGCCACAGCATGTGTACCAGACCGACTACCTGTACATTTTCCTCGAGTCGCAAAACGTCAACACCAGTATCGCATGCAATATCTCCATCCCAAGTTTCACCAGCAGCCACTACTGAACACGGCACGCAGTCACTAGCCTCTCAAGCAGTGCTACTCATCGCCTTCAATAACACCAGCAACCCGTATGCACCCGGATCAGGCACACCTCGTGTGGCACTCTCGTCCAGATACGCACTTCGCCCGAGCTGCGCCTCCATCTTCTTCGTCCCTTCGACTCCCTTCTCAGCTTCCGACACAGCAGCTTGCGCATCCCCAGACTTGCTCAGTGTATCGACAAACGGAATCAGCGCATCCATCATCGTCCGATCGGCAAGCCGTGCCCTGGTATACTTCATCAATTGGTGTAGCGCGCTCTGCAAGGCCTTCGGCACAGAGTCTTCGGTGGCCAGCGACGCAGCAAGCGCTGTCAAGAAGATACAGTACAACGCGCCTGAGGTACCGCCCATGTTGACCTCGAGGTCAAGTACAAGCTCACCTACCACCTGTGGCAACTCGGTCAGGTCTCTCCCTTCGATGAAAGCCAGTACCTGCTTCGCGCCATCTCTGAGCGTGTAGCCACAATCACCGTCACCAACAATGGTGTCGTACTCTGTGATCCTTGGCTCATCGTCGATCACAGCTTGACAGCCGGCTTCGATCCGATTTCGTACCTGCGCATCGTCGAACGTCATCTTCGAGTTGGATGTGACTGCTGCAGCACTACGCTCGGACGTCTCGGACGTCGCCGCCGCTTGATGGGCCTTCGGCTTCGGCTGTGCACTCAGCAGCTCCACCGGCAATGGACATATCGACACAGCGAAGCCTCTCGCCAACTCCTTGTGGTCCAGTATGGTCGAATGCGATAGCCTATACGGGATTCGCTGCCTTTCAAGATACTCCGCAATGTCCTTTGCCAAAATATAGTTCTCCAGCCTACTCAGCCCATTGACGTCCGAGTAGTGCACTGACACTGTGACTTGCACCGTCTGCGGCTCCCGGAACTTCAAGACGTGCTTCAAGTCTCTCTCAACAGCATGCTTGGCTTTCTCGAAACCTAGAGTCTGACCTCCAGCATGCACGATGGCCGGGTTGCCGTCGGCCTTCTCGACGTGGAACCTGGAGAACGCCGTACTGGATTGCTTCGCGAAGATCTTCAGCAGCTCGGTAGTCCGGTGGATCGAAGCTCGACACGAATCCGTAGCATTGTTGATCAAGTGGATGACATGGTCCATCTCAACCTCGCTCTCCACCTCAATCTCTACCAAGTCCGACTCGTGCACCTCAACACGCATCTTCTTGCCCGACCGCACGATGACAAGACCATGAGCCAGCTTCACGCCAGCTTTCTTGATCGCAAAGTCGACATCTTGAGCTGTCAGAACGCCGCCTCCTCGCTGATCTGTGACAATGGCGGTGATCTGCTTATCGTCGAGGAGCTTGCTCGAGAAGTTGCCCAGGTTGCCGATCGCAGCTATGCCGACTGACTTGCTCTCGGCTTGAGCTTCATCGATCAGGATGGTCTGGTTCTTAGGTGTTTTTGTGGCCCGCACGCTGGGTCGCATTAAGGGCAATATGGTGCTCCATCTCGTTGGGTTCTTGAGGTCAAGGGCGTTGGCGTCGAAGGGGATGGTCTGTTCGACGACGACGGCCATGCTGATGGTAATGCGTGCTGGACTTGTGTACTGCTGCTGCTTCTTCACAAGTGCGTAAAGTCTTAGGGAACTGTAATTCGTTCGAGTCGATCCCCCAGACCTGCAGTACTTTCGAGAAGTAATGCTGTCCCTGCTTCGTAAGCCTCTGGGTTCCAATCTTATCTCGCTGGCGTCGATGTAGCTATAAATCACTCGCGCAGCTAGACTGCTATCGGCGCTGTCTACGAACCAGACTCCCGAGAGACGATGGTGATATATGTCCGGGAATCGTGGGCAAGGTGAAAGTGACGACCACCTACATATGTCCCAGTGGGAGCTAGCTATCGCTCCTACAGGTATCATTCACATGTACATGGTAGCATCTGGCATAGCTTCAGGGCAATTGCCGTTCCTCGGCGAAAGTGGGAACGGTCATTGAAGCTTCTAATGAAGCTGCACATGGCAGGCTGTTCATGTGGGCAGTAAGTACGATAATCCGGATGCCCGGAATGAGCAATCCGTGGAGAACTGTGGGGCAAGTCTGTGATGCACAACAAGCTGGCGATACCTCCTACGCGCTTCCACATTTCTTTGCTTGTCCGCCAAATCCCCCACCGGTCTGCAACGACAAGGTGCAGATACAGCTGATGAGGACTGTCAAGGTCATGCACACCTTCTGTGAAGTGTCCGGGACATCTCGGTGTAGCGGCCTGATGTGCAGATATAGAGGGGTAACGAGAACAACGCGTATTGCGGGGCAAGGGAAATTGTTCGCACTCACGCGCAGGTGATTGACAGGAGATGTGTGCTGGTCCGGCGCTACGAGATCCGTGGACCAGTCAAAAGTGGCTGGAGTGTAGGTATCTTTCACCTTCTCTGCATCTCGAGTGTCTTTGAAGCGTTCTTCGGCTGCTCTTACCGTACCCTCAGCATAAGTTCCTCCCGATTGCCGTGCTCCAGAGAGTCCACCTTGACCTTGCACCGTACAACCAACCAGTTCGAGCTTCTTACAAGCGTAGCAACGAAGTGCCTGCTGTATCAATCATCTATACAACAGCTCTGGGCACGTCTTGAACACTTGGAGAAACAAGCCCCCCCAAACCCATCGATTACCTCCCCTTCCCCTCAGCATGGCGTCCGCCGCTCTCCGCGAAAAGCAAGCCCCCATAAAAGCATCCTACAAATCCGACCCCTCCTCCGCCCTCGTGACCCTCACCTCCAAGGGAACCCTAGA